TGTGACATCTGTTGTCACAGCTCAAGACACCCACCCAAAATTCAATCGTCAAAGGCACAAGAATTGCTTGCTGTGACCCAGCCTGAGCTGTTGACCCCGCTGCTGCCTCCTCCGCTTTTGCCGTTTCGGATGCTTGCGTGGTCGGTGTGCCATCTGCTATCTTGGCAACCGCCTGGCAGGCTTGCAAGAAGCCCGAACACCCCGCAAACTCAAGCTCAGACTTTGCCCGCTTTGGGCACTTCCCCGCAGCTGCCACTCAGCAAGGGCAGTCTGCCGCTCTAGCATGACAACAGCGCTCCATTCTGAGCCTCTGCCTCCTTCTCCTCAAAGTTCTGCAACGACTTCTCCAGGCTGCCGTCTTTGGCCGCTTTCAGCAAAGATGAGGCCGCTTTCTGCCGCACACTCGGAGCATCGGCGTCTGCCGCAACGGCCGCTGCAGCACCGGCATCTGGGGCCTGCCAAGCTGTGCAGCATGTTACGACCCAAGCGCCGCAGCATTACCCACCATGGAGTCATCAAATCAGGAAAGCCAATGACGTGTCAAAAGCAACGCGCCAGCAACTGGAGCCATGTGACATCTGTTGTCACAGCTCAAGACACCCACCCAAAATTCAATCGTCAAAGGCACAAGAATTGCTTGCTGTGACCAACCCTTAGCTGTTGACACCGCTGCTGCCTCCGCCACTTTGGCCGTTTCGGAGGCTTGTGTGGTCGGTGCGCCATCTGCGGTCTTGGCCTCAACCTGGCAGGGCAGACTCTCTCTCAATCTTCAAAGCCTTGCAAGCCCAGACCCACACGTGCATGTCGCACGGCACGCCCCGGCAACAAAAGCCGACTCAAGCTCTGATGTCTCCGCAAAGAGCCCTCCGCGCTCCCCGCCTGCGTGCCTTTGCCTTTGCCCTTGGGTGGCCCCTTGGGACCTTTGCCCGGCCCCTTTGCTTTGGCTGCGGGAACCTGCCACAGTCATTCGCTGCAAGATGCATCCAAAAGCATGCAGGTGCAACTTTGATGGCCTCAACCAGCCTAGCCGTTTGTTGCGGCCACTGCCACCGGACTCACACCAAACTGAAACCAACCATCTCACCCAACCCCGACCGCCTGCCCACTCCACCTGCGCCTGGCAATCTACCTCGGTCGCGGCGCGCCTGCGTTGCGTCTGCAGCAACGGCCGCTGCAGCGCTGGCTTCTGGGGCCTGCGGAGCTGTGCAACATGTTGGCAACCCACCGTCCATTCATGAAATCAGGAGAGCCCATGATATGCCAAGAGCAACTCGCCAGCAACTGGAGTGCGACCCCACTTGCTGTGACCCAGCCTGAGCTGTTGACCCCGCTGCTGCCTCCTCCGCTTTTGCCGTTTCGGAGGCTTGCGTGGTCGGTGTGCCATCTGCTTTCTTGGCCTCAACCGCCTGGCAGGCTGTTTGGATCAGGCGGCTTGCAAGAAGCCCGCACACGCAGGCACGCTCAAGCTCAGACTTTGCCCGCTTTGGCCACTTCCCCGCAGCTGCCACTCAGCAAGGGTAGCAGTCTGCCGCTCTAGCATGACAACAGCGCTCCATTCTGAGCCTCTGCCTCCTTCTCCTCAAAGTTCTGCAATGACTTCTCCAGGCTGCCGTCTTTGGCCGCTTTCAGCAAAGATGAGGCCGCTTTCTGCCGCACACTCGGAGCATCGGCGTCTGCCGCAACGGCCGCTGCAGCACCGGCATCTGGGGCCTGCCAAGCTGTGCAGCATGATACGACCCAAGCGCCGCAGCATTACCCACCATGGAGTCATCAAATCAGGAAAGCCAATGACGTGTCAAAAGCAACGCGCCAGCAACTGGAGCCATGTGACATCTGTTGTCACAGCTCAAGACACCCACCCAAAATTCAATCGTCAAAGGCACAAGAATTGCTTGCTGTGACCAACCCTTAGCTGTTGACACCGCTGCTGCCTCCGCCACTTTGGCCGTTTCGGAGGCTTGTGTGGTCGGTGCGCCATCTGCGGTCTTGGCGTCAATCTGGCAGGGCAGACTCTCTCTCAATCTTCAAAGCCTTGCAAGCCCAGACCCACACGTGCACGTCGCACGGCACGCCCCGGCAACAAAAGCCGACTCAAGCTCTGATGTCTCCGCAAAGAGCCCTCCGCGCTCCCCGCCTGCGTGCCTTTGCCTTTGCCCTTGGGTGGCCCCTTGGGACCTTTGCCCGGACCCTTTGCTTTGGCTGCGGGAACCTGCCACAGTCATTCGCTGCAAGATGCATCCAAAAGCATGCAGGTGCAACTTTGATGGCCTCAACCAGCCTAGCCGTTTGTTGCGGCCACTGCCACCGGACTCACACCAAACTGAAACCAACCATCTCACCCAACCCCGACCGCCTGCCCACTCCACCTGCGCCTGGCAATCTACCTCGGTCGCTGCGCGCCTGCGTTGCGTCTGCAGCAACGGCCGCTGCAGCGCTGGCTTCTGGGGCCTGCGGAGCTGTGCAACATGTTGGCAACCCACCGTCCATTCATGAAATCAGGAGAGCCCATGATATGCCAAGAGCAACTCGCCAGCAACTGGAGTGCGACCCCACTTGCTGTGACCCAGCCTGAGCTGTTGACCCCGCTGCTGCCTCCTCCGCTTTTGCCGTTTCGGAGGCTTGCGTGGTCGGTGTGCCATCTGCTTTCTTGGCCTCAACCGCCTGGCAGGCTGTTTGGATCAGGCGGCTTGCAAGAAGCCCGCACACGCAGGCACGCTCAAGCTCAGACTTTGCCCGCTTTGGCCACTTCCCCGCAGCTGCCGCTCAGCAAGGGCAGCAGTCTGCCGCTCTAGCGTGACAACAGCGCTCCATTCTGAGCCTCTGCCTCCTTCTCCTCAAAGTTCTGCAATGACTTCTCCAGGCTGCCGTCTTTGGCCGCTTTCAGCAAAGATGAGGCCGCTTTCTGCCGCACACTCGGAGCATCGGCGTCTGCCGCAACGGCCGCTGCAGCACCGGCATCTGGGGCCTGCCAAGCTGTGCAGCATGTTACGACCCAAGCGCCGCAGCATTACCCACCATGGAGTCATCAAATCAGGAAAGCCAATGACGTGTCAAAAGCAACGCGCCAGCAACTGGAGCCATGTGACATCTGTTGTCACAGCTCAAGACACCCACCCAAAATTTAATCGTCAAAGGCACAAGAATTGCTTGCTGTGACCAACCCTTAGCTGTTGACACCGCTGCTGCCTCCGCCACTTTGGCCGTTTCGGAGGCTTGTGTGGTCGGTGCGCCATCTGCGGTCTTGGCCTCAACCTGGCAGGGCAGACTCTCTCTCAATCTTCAAAGCCTTGCAAGCCCAGACGCACACGTGCACGTCGCACGGCACGCCCCGGCAACAAAAGCCGACTCAAGCTCTGATGTCTCCGCAAAGAGCCCTCCGCGCTCCCCGCCTGCGTGCCTTTGCCTTTGCCCTTGGGTGGCCCCTTGGGACCTTTGCCCGGACCCTTTGCTTTGGCTGCGGGAACCTGCCACGCTGCAAGATGCATCCAAAAGCATGCAGGTGCAACTTTGATGGCCTCAACCAGCCTAGCCGTTTGTTGCGGCCACTGCCACCGGACTCACACCAAACTGAAACCAACCATCTCACCCAACCCCGACCGCCTGACCACTCCACCTGCGCCTGGCAATCTACCTCGGTCGCTGCGCGCCTCGGCTGCTGCAGCGCTGGCTTCTGGGGCCTGCGGAGCTGTGCAACATGTTGGCAACCCAACATGTTGCGACCCAAGCGCCATGACCCACCGTTCATTCATGAAATCAGGAGAGCCCATGATATGCCAACAGCAACTCGCCAGCAACTGGAGTGCGATCTGTTGTCACAGCTCAAGACACCCACCCCACTTGCTGTGACCCAGCCTGAGCTGTTGACCCCGCTGCTGCCTCCTCCACTTTCGCTGTTTCGGAGGCGTGCGTTGTCGGTGTGCCATCTGCTATCTTGGCCTCAACCGCCTGGCAGGCTTGCGAGAAGCCCGCACACGCAGGCACGGCCACTTCCCCGCAGCTGCCACTCAGCAAGGGTAGCAGTCTGCCGCTCTAGCATGACAACAGCGCTCCATTCTGAGCCTCTGCCTCCTTCTCCTCAAAGTTCTGCAACGACTTCTCCAGGCTGCCGTCTTTGGCCGCTTTCAGCAAAGATGAGGCCGCTTTCTGCCGCACACTCGGAGCATCGGCGTCTGCCGCAACGGCCGCTGCAGCGCCGGCATCTGGGGCCTGCGGAGGTTTGCAACCCAATTTTAGCATGGGCAACTCACATGAGAAAGCTGTATCCCAGGGTCCAACAGTAACAAAATGATGCCCCGCCTTGTCACTCCAGGTCAACTTGCAATAGTCAACATTTCGACAATGGCAGCGCTTGAAAATTGTCAAAAAAACGAGCGGCACATGGGCAAGGGGAACAAACATTGCCTGAGCCTCGCCTGCACCAAAAAGAACACGCTCTTTCCGCCAACGAGAAGATAGGGCATCTGCGAGATGCAGCTCGAAACAGTCAGCCGAAACCTGGCAATACATTTACCGCGGTGGTCATATTATATTTTTATATATGTATGTATGTATGTATATTTATGTGTATATATATATATATACATATACATATTGATCTTCCTATTTACATATTTATGTAGGGAGCGTTGGTTGCTTCTATTGCTTCGCTTGTCTTGCTGGCCTCTCAGCCTCCCCTGCCGGAGTCTGGGTCCCCGCCTCCATGTCGCCCCCGTAAAGCGGCTCGCTTGGGGGGTCGGTCTACGAGCCCAAGCTGCGCGCACAAAAACCCGTGGCCATTTTAATTCCGCCGAAAGACTGACAAGTCAAACGGCTGTGGATCAAAAATGGGTACCCAAAATGGGTTGCCCTGGTAAATGGAACCCACGACTGAAACATGCGGTCCCTATAGGTGGTTTAAATTTTGACCAAATGCACACTGTTTCGCCGTCACTTTGCCCCTCCCTCTTTTGCCCGGCTGGCCCCTGCCTTCGGCCCCTTGACCTGGCTTTGGGGCGCCGCACCGCACGATGTTGGCCATCATGGCTGGCAGCGCCAGCAGCCTCACGGGCTTCGGGAATCGCTTTACGGGCTACGTGAGACGAGATTCGGGCATGGCGGCTCTGCCGCCCAGCGCCAAGGCCTGCGTAGACTCCGAGAGGAGTCCGACTCGGAGAATTCTCACTTCACCCCCTCTTCATTCCAATTCACCCCCATGCACCCCATTCACCCCCTTCCCCCTAAAGTCTCACCAGCAAGCTGCAAATCCAACCCACCCCCGACAGGCCGTGACAACATAGTCCAGCAGCAGCAAAGCAACCACCGGCACCCGCTGGTCGCGCAGCCTAAACAAGCTGCTGTGCGGCCAAAAAAAGCGGAATGCGGGAGGACTCGTTTTTCGTGGTCTGGACAAGCCGTGAAGGGGAGGAGGTGTTTTGATCCCCACTCGACCGATTTGTCTGGGGCCTGGGCAAAGCCACCAATACCATCCAGACCCAAATCCGGGAGCAAATCTCACGAGGCAAAGGCTTGAAATCAAGACGCAAAAAAAAAAGCTGGCCTCAAACCGGGACCCCCTGAATGGCTTGAAAAACACCAGCCAATCTTGGGGGTCCCAGGACTCTGAACACGCCAGCAAATCATGCAGGTCACGCCTCAACCATACGAAGGCCTAAATGCAGTGGGAAAGCCCGACCTAGCAATGAGTCTGTGTCATGCCATGCATGTCGAGCGGCTCCAGCCTGGGCGTGATGACAACGCAGCCGCCACGGTTTCCGACAGGGTCTGATCCATCTCCACCTCAACGAGCAAGACGCCAGCCGCGCGAATGGCAAGCATATCCGAGGCAGGTGCCAGGGACAAGGAGGCAGACACCACGGAAAGCCCGGCACACGTCCACAGCCTGAGACGCCAGCGAAAAACAAACAAGTCTCGTCCGGTACGAGCTCCAAGCAAAGAACGGCTCACCAGGTCCAGCGCAGTCCTCAAGCGTCGGCCCCGAGGAAAGGTTCGAGCGAAGGCTCAGTTCCGGGCGGGTGCCACATGCCCCAAGTGAGCAGCGACAGCACCACTGCGGCAAACGCGGAGCCTGGACTTGAGGCCGATGCCAATTGAGGCCGATGCCAAACCTGCCAAACCTGCCAAACCTTTCCTTCTTTCCTTCTTTCTCCCTCTCCTTGCGCGACGGCTTCTGCGCCGCTACAGCTAAATCGCCTGAGCCACAGATGCGGCGCAGAAACGCTCAGCACGAGGCGCCCACGGAGGGCCCGTCACCATCCGCGTCGCAGGCCTCTCCGATTTTTGTCTAACCGCGCAATCGACGCAAACCGATTGGTCCCACCGAGTCCGCCTCAGGCTCTGGTTGGGCCCTGAGCGGCACACGCGTGTCAACAGTCAAGTCAACCTGTGCGCTGCTGGCCTCGAGGCGTGCTCTGCTCCTGATTCGGAAATGGACATGGGTGCGGGTCAAAATGAAACCAGGGACCGCAGGTAGTCCATGCTTCCATTTAAGGTTCAATTTTGGGCACCTATTTTTGACCAGCCAAATCTGGACGGCTGCCCGTCCTTCCAGGCCAGCCAGGGCTGGATCATCTGCCCAACGCCTCAACGTGGCGGAAGCACTCGGATGATGTTCGATCTATGGTTTCATGGCAAATACGGCTGTGGGTCAGAACCAATGGGATCCCATTTTGGGGTAGGTGCACCACCCATTCTAGTCTATTTCAGTGGGGATTGGGATGTGCACTGGGGGTACGGGATTTTGACCCATGGCCATATATCTGGATCATGTTGGCAATCGATGAGAAGTATTGTCATTCATGGTCCTGACTGAGTCGGGAACCGGGTTTAATTATTTCTTACTGTGCACACACTACATCACTTGCTTGCCAGCGGCCGGAGTAGCATTTGCGGGTTGTGACATTTTTCCCTGGTAAAGAATCATTGGTGCTTCAATTGTAATTTTCTTGACCATGGAAAAAGTGTTGAAACCAAACGTCGCAAGTCACAACATATTCTTTGGTTTCCAGCCGCTCTGGGGTCTTCAAGGCCGGCACCCAGCACAAGCAGTGCCCAGGGCGCCAAAACACATCGCCTCGCGAAGAACTCCGCGCTCTGCGCTTTTGCGCTTGGCTGTCAAATCGGGTTCCGGGCTGCAGGAGGGATAAATTCAGGCTCTTGAGCTCTTGCCATGCCACCCAGCAGCAAACCTCAGCCCGAACGCCCCGAACGGAACCCATGGCTGGTGTGCAGCTTCAGCTCGGAGCCGTGGACAGTAGGAGCTGCAGCACCAACAGTCCGATGGCCTGCCCCCGTCTGTGCAACCCGCACCGAACGGAGACGAATTCGACTCGCAGGCCTGCGGAAGTAGACCCAAGCCGAGCTCAGAGTGCCCTCACAGAGATCAGGTCGCACGTGTCACACGCAGTCCCAGGCGCCTGCGAGCACTGCGAGCCTGGGTCCAGCGGGCTTTTTCTTTTTTCTCGCGTCCGCATCCGCATCTGGGGCGGCGGCGCGGCCAGCTGTGCAGCGATGCAGCTGCCGTGCAGCAGCAGGAAGGCCGCGCAGCTGAAACGGGCCATGACCTGCAGCCCACTCGGCTCGAGCGCGCGCCCTCGAGCCGTCGGCTGGGCGCCCGGCATGACGGCCTCATGCCACGCACCGCACGAGCCACGGAGATGCCTTCGGTGCAAGAGGAGAGGCCCTGGCAATCAATGGCAATCAATAGCAATCACTAGCACTCAATGGCAATCAATGGCAAGCAGCCGTGCGGGGGGGCGCACCTTTTGTAAACTTATGACAGATTTGCCCAGCCGTCACTTGGAGGTCAACATCCAGAGACGAGGCCAAAGCCACCACCAAATCTGGACAGGCGAAAGTGAAGGACCTGCAAGGCCCTTTGTTGAGCACCGCCCGCAATTTGTCTCAGCGCTGCCAACAAAGGGCCCAATGCCTCAACCAAACATTTGCATGCGTTGAGGGCGGGCAGCTGTGTCCAAGAGCGCTGCTGTGACAACTGCTATGAGCCATGTGCTTTAGCTGCACGTGGAAAAACTCGCAGCGCGCTCTTGCTTGCTGTCGCTCAAGTGTCAGACGCTGGAAACTTGCCAAGGATCTGTGGAACTTAAGTCATCTAAGTCTATTCGTGCAACTTCGACAAAGTCGCCAACTAGATGGTGGGCACAGCCTCGCCTCAAACCAACCGCTCGACTTCCACAAATCCTGAAGTTCCATGAGACGCAGGGCTCGGCGCTGCTCCGAAAGCCCGCCCACCCGCTCAACCGCTGCGGGGAAAAAAAACGACTCGAGGCATCCCGAGTCGGGAGCTAAGCCTGTGGCTTCTTCGAGACTCGAGCCCCGCAGGCCCGTCCCAGCCACAAATGCCCGCGCGCCAAGGCGCGCAGGGCGGACAGGCATGTCTTCAATGTGCCTGGTGAAACCTGAATTCACGCCCTTTAAACTTGGAGCACGGGAAAGCGCGCTGCTCAGCTTGCGCTGATCCTGCACTGGTGCAGCATTCCTAGCGCCTCAGATCAGAGCGCTGAGCGTCTGCAACCGGGCCCAGGTGAGTTGCGAGTTCCCGGCGAGGTTCCGCCATCCTAGCTCAGCTTGTCAGGGTCAAGCGCAAAGACTCCAAGACACCCCATTGCAGGAGCAGCCTAAGGAGCTGGCCCAGTGGTTCCACCCGTTCCAAGAGTTCCAGCTAGAGGAGGACCAGCGTCCTAGCTGAAATCTTCCGTGCGAAAGTTCAACGACGTGTTGCGCCATGCGCCTCGTGAATCGTTGGCATTGGAGCCGGAGGCATTGGAAGCCTCAAATGCGATTCATGGCCCAGACTCTCCGGCCTCGTCACCGGCCACATTTCTGTCTAAGTTGCCAGCCCCTTTTCCACTGCCTGGCGCGAAGAGTGTCTGATCGGAGGGCGCAGGCCGACGTGACGCGCGCCTTTACCCTGCCCTTGTCTGCCTTGGCGAGATCGATAGATTTCACGAGACGCCCAAAGCGGCTGAGCTGTCGGCTGGAGTTGACTGGCACCCAGACCTGCCTAGGTGTCCGCTCACTGAGCCGTGTCCCACGCCCTCAACGCCCCTGTGCCCTTTCTGACGCAAAGGGCTCCGATCTCAATGCCCACCTCGGTCTTGAGTGCCAACTTGCGGAAGATGAAGCTTCCTCGCGCAAAGACGACATCAACAAATTAGCCCATGCTTGCAAAGCGGCACACGCCTCATCGTGCGAATTCCTGGGCGCAGCGACTGATCCAAACCGACTCACTTGGGGGTCAAGCGCCGGGCCAATTGCCGCGGCGCCAGGATGCGCCTGAAAGCTTGGCCCGAACGCGCACGCACCCGGGTTGGAAGTAAGGAGCAGTGAGTCACTGAGGAGTGAAACGGAGCACTTGGACAAGTTGAAGGCTCATGGCTCACCGTCCGCGCCTCGCGGCTCGGCCTTGCCACCTTTGCCACCTCGGCCTTTGCCGCCTCGGCCTCCTCGCAGGGACCGATCTGTACCACGTCCCAGGTGTCGAACCGGATCCCCGGGCCTCGACCCCGGCCCTTCCAGACCGCTTCAGGCCGCATCCTAAGGCAGGAAAAGAAAGAAAATCCTTCCGGCACTTCCCTGAGCTCCAAGCGCATGCCTTGGGCTATCCTGGTTCGGGCCTGGCTCACACAAAGGAGCAGTCCCGAACCGTGAGCCCTTGAGACCGCCTGGGCCCCAGGTCTCTACGGCGCTAAGAGTCACCGGCAGGGTGCCGTTGGTGGTGAGGGTCCGCAGTAGCAGGCCTTCGAAAAGGATCTCGGACCCCGGATCCCGGTCAAAACACGCCCACACTTCACATGTCAAGATCGAACAGCCGATTCAAACACTCACGATCGGATGTCCAAACCGCACCCCCCACGCAGATCCTCCAAGGTCTGCCAGGGCTGTGGACGCATCCCCAGTGGCTCCATTCAGAAGCCTGCGTTCGGGTCAAGTCGGCGTGCAAACCAATCGGAGCCTCGGTGACTCAGGCTGCGGCCCAGAGCTCGCTAGGTGCGGGGATGGCGAGCCGAGGTTCGCAGTGCCCCCTCAGGGCACGAAGGCAAGTCGAAGCATGGCGCATGGCGCATGGCGCATGTCAAAGCGAAGCATCGAAGCCTGTGTGCTGCGACAGGGTGAGGAGCAGAATGTCCTGGATGATCACCTGGACAGCATCCTGGAACCCTGGCCCGGACGATTCAACTCAGCGCCTGCCCAAGCTGCTGCAAGAGTTGGTTCGAGGTACCGCGGCCTGGCATGCTCCAGTCCATATCTTCTGAAGAGGTCAACTAATTGCCAAACCCGGATCTGCCTGAGGAGAATGCAGCCTGCAGGCCTCAGCACATTCGCACATCTCGCCCTTTTACCTCGTCGGTTCGGGGCCTGATGTGGCCGAGAGCGGCAGGGCGGCCCTCACCTGAGAGCTCAGCTTCGACCACTGCCTGAGACAAGTCCCTCCGCCTCCAGAGCGAAGGAAGGGCCAGCCTGCGCACCTGGACTCAACGGACTCGACATGAACAGCTCAGACGGGTGGCTTCTTGAAAGGTCGACATGCCCAAGGCCCGCCTGAATCACCCAGATCCATTGCTGCACGACAGAGCGGGCAAGTCGGCGTATGCCTGGCAGAGTGCAAGTCCCGCCCAAGCGCAAGAGGCCGAGAGGCAATTGGAAGACTTGCTGCGCCCACCCTTGGCACAGCCACTTGCGGACGCACTCTGCGTGCCACACCTGGAGCTTCACGCCACGTGCTGCGCCCTTTGGCCGAATTGGGCTTCCGGCAGAGGGACAAATGTCGGTGGCACAGGGCAGGGCGGTGAGGTTGTCACCTGCCGACCGAGTGACTAGTGTCTTCACGCCGTGGAACGGACGCCGCCTGGTTGAAACGGCTGCAGGCATATGCCGCAGCTATCGCAAAGGCCACTGGAGGAAGATACCTGTCACAGTCCACCGCCCGAAAACGCCCTTCAGAAGGAACACTCATGCAAAGACATGCCAGGCCGGACGGCTTCCTCGCAGTGCTGATCATCTTCGTCTAGCTCCTCTTCTTCCGCTAACCTGGATCTAGTCAATGCTCTGTCTGCCCGACTTCCATGCTGGGCGAGGTGCTTGAGCTTGGAGAGAATGGCAGGCTGCACTGTGACCTGGACGGACCAAGTCGCGGACACCCAAGCCTCTTCACATCTACCTGTCTCTCATTGTGCAATGCTGGGCAAAGTCTGGCGAGCGCGTGCAGAGTCAGAAACTTACTGGAAGTTCGGATTGAGTTAGCTGCCAGTAAGATATGGTATAGGCACGCATGACAAGCTAAGAACATGCTGGAAAAAACGCGAGGACTGGACATAGCGAGCTTCTACACGGCCCGCGTGACTTCGGCGCTTCCGTGGGCAAAGCACCAGGGGTCGCGACGGGGAGGCGGTGCGCGAAGCGGGCTTGGCACTGAGCCATCCGCGGGACCAACTGCGCGGACTTTCGGGGGATCTGAGAGAAAGACAGAGAGACAAAGAGACAAAGAGAAAAAACAAGGAGACAGGAAAATAAGAAATCAGAGATCGTTAGAAGGAGAAAGAGAAAGAGAAGGAGAAAGAGAAAGAGAAGGAGAAAGAGAAAGAGAAAGAGAAAGAGCAAGAGAAGAAAACGGAGAAAGCGAAAGGGAAAGAGAAACAGAAAGAGAAATAAAAAGAGGAAGACGAAGAGAGAAGGAGAAAGGGAAGGAGACGGAGACAAACACACAGACAGAGAAGGAGAAAGAAAAAGGAGAAAGACCAAGAGAAAAGAAACAAATATAACAAGAGAGAAAAAGAACGAGAAAGAGAAATAAGGAAAACACGCGTATTCCAAATTTCCAAACTATAATTCTTGGACATCATATGCCAACATGTTGCCGAATGGGGTGGAGCAAATTGGGTGGTTTCTAGTACATGGGCATGATGAGGATCGAGTACGCAGAACAAAGTTGTGGAAGCTCTGGATGGCGAGGGTTGCGTGATGTGTGTGTGTGTGTGTGTGCGTGTGCCTGCGTGCAAATGCATCTGGAGATTGAATGCCAGTCAAAGTGTGGCTTACCGCTCCTCGGCATCTCCGAGTGTCCAGGTGGTCCCAATTCCTGCGAATGGGAAACTGTCAAGGGAAGGAGGGAAAGCCAAAACAGGCCTGCCACATCCTCCTGCGTTCGTCTCGGGGTGTTCAGCAACACGGGGACCAAGACCTCGCAGTTGGGTCCCGGCTTCGAAGCCCTTGTCGGCGCTGGAAGGCTCCGAGTGCCCGAGTGCCCGAGTGCCCGAGTGCCCGAGTGCCCGAGTGCCCGAGTGCCCGAGTGCCCGGCCGTGAGCTGCAGGGTCCCCGGGACTCCAGCAGGACCTCGGACACTGTGCTCTTCCAACCCGCCCGACGGAAATCCGAGAAACTCCGAGTCTCAAGCGATTGCTCAAGTCCAGGTTGCCCCGATCTGCGGATGCTGAACTCATGGACTCACGGACTCACGCTTCCCAGCCTGTGCTGACGATTCGGGCCGTGATGTTGCTGCCAAGGCCCGCTGCCTGACACAGAGCTACGCGCTGAGCGCCAAGCTCCCCTGAGCGCTGAGGAGTTGGCCAAGTAAGGCCATGCTCCGAGACCCAGGTCAGATCCACGGAACTGGGACCTGATCGCATCCACGACCCAGCCCGAACCCAAATCGAGATCACTGGGGCTTGCACCCGGCGGCCATCAAGCCACTGCGAATGGCGCTTCGAGTGGCACTGTTCAGAGCAGGGCCTTCGAATTTCGAATCCGACGGCCGACTTCAACGACTCGAACTGACGAGCCGCCTGCTGGCGGCCCTCGCCCATGTGGTGGGCAGCTACCTGCTCTTCGCCTGGCGGACAAGGGGTTGCCCAGCTTCGTTCCTGTGGTTCCCGTCCTGACTCCAGGCACCGGCTCCGTCTCGCGGTCCCTGCCCGACCGCATTGCCTGGGCTCGCGCTCGGCTCTCAACCGGCGCGGGCCTCAGCAAAGCGTCCCCGCGCCTGAAATGCCGCGTTCTCGCCTCCGAAAAAAACACTCCTCGCACGCAAGTGCCAGGAGCTGCAGGAAATGACCCCACGGAAAGCAAAGTCCTGGGCAGAGTGCGGGGTTTTCCTTACACCTCGTTCTCTTTTTGAGCAAGCCAAGTGTGCAGGGTCAGGCGCCCGGCCAAAAAGCTGTCTTCGACTCAGCCCAACCTCAAGCAACGAGCAAAGCCTCGTGACACGCCAACTACAATGGTGGCCATGCGGCGTTGCCTCTGAGTGCCGGACGTTGGCCACTCGTGTAATCTAGAATAACCGCCCCCCCTCCCCAGGAATGCAAAATGTCTGCCGGTGGCCGCTTTCACAATTTCAACCCATAGCCCTTGCGATCATGTCCGTTGCCCCCTTGCAGCTGCCTTCAAACATGTATCCTTTTCTCCTCAGATCACTTCCAACGCGCAGCTACCTGCGCACTGGGCCCGTTTTGGTGAGACTGGTGGCAACTCTCAGCACTGCGAGAGGCCAGGAAGTGTGTTCGCACTCACTCATCTGGCATCAAACATCTTGCACAAGTCCCACGCATCGCACGCATGGCATCAGGCACGGTTCTTTCAGCTGAAAGCTTTTTCAGCTCCCGCACATCGACCCGCCTACTTGACATTACCTGGCTCCAGCGGCACGCTGGGCCTCGGTGCCCATACCCATGCTCCCTGGTCAACGTGGAGCTGTGGGACAGCTCCTTTCACTTCCAAGGGGTCGGTCGCCAAAGCACGGGATGCAAAAACTCACCGGAGAGAGTTATAATTCAAAAGACATGGAGAGAAGTCTGAGACCTGCATTCATGAGTACGAGTTGCCCAAGGCTTGCACGCTAGAGTCGGAGAGTAGTCTGGCCCTTTGCCTCATCACATGGTTGGCAGTTGCACCTTTCCACTTGGCTGCAGCAAGCCTCCTTCTCCCTTGCCATCTTTTCCTTTGCCCTTTCCCTGCCACAACAAGCCGTCCATCCTTTTCTTACGACACTCTCCAGCCTTGTTGGTAATGAATGACTTTCCTTTGGATCCTCAGAAAGGCAATGCGTGCATGCGCTCACTGGGGGTGGACTTGGATTAGCGCCTGGGCCCTTGTCGCCCTTGTAAGAGAATCCCTTCCCTGAGAGAAAACGGAAGAACGAAATGAAGGCCAGTCCTTTTGCCTGAGCCCCGGGCCGTCATCGTCAAAACCCTTGCCCTTGCCTTTGGGACTTCGCATGAAACCTCGCGGAGTCGCGCCCTTAACTTCTGGCTTGACAACTTTCCGGCCTGGCATGTCGGCTGTCATGTTGGCGCCTTTGCTCGGGTCTGCGCCTCTGCCAGCCTGGGAAAAAAACTCAAGCGCAAAGGGACACTCGTGGCTCATGGCTCTCTGAGGCACCAGCCATGCCCATCATGCCTGGCACTCGCTCGCGCTCAGCTCGCAAGCCCCTCACTCCTTTCTGGCTTCGCGCCCTGCCTGGCCCAGCTTTGCCCCTGCAAAGCTGGAAAAAATGTTGAGGAAAACTCCATGGAAGAGACGCTCGCGAGGTCTCGAGGTCCCGGCATGCCCTTGCCATCCTTGCCCATGCCGAATGGCCTGCACAAATGCGCGAAGCGCTCTGAATGCCAGCATTGACACCTATCCAGGCCTCATCTGCGAGGACATGCCTGCCAGAGAATGACTCGAAATGAGCCATCCAGCCATCCAGACATATCCAGACCATCCAGGTGCCGGGCCCATGCATCCACCGCAGCCGCAGCCACCTCCACCACAGCCTCCACATCCATAGCCGCCGCAGCCGCCATATCCACTGCCGCAGCCACCCGGGTAGCCTGCCCCACAGCCGCAGCCGCAGCCGCAGCCGCCGCAGCTGCCGCATCCGCCGCATCCGCTGCATCCGCAGCCGCCGCATCCGCTGCATCCGCTGCATCCGCAGCCGCCGTAGCCGTAACCCATGCCCATGCCTTCAGCTCAAGACCAAACCAGGACTCGCGACATCGGCGCTTTGACTGACTGAGTCGGACCTCGCCTCCGGCATTGGGGTTGTTCATGTTTGATTGACCCATGCCACCCTGGCACAAGGTGATCGCTTCGAATTGCAACCAAAACATGCCAGCCTGCATGCGCATTCCCATGTTCTGCATGGACATACCCATGCCCATATTAGCCTTCCGTCAAAGATAATGCAGCACAGCATAGAGAAAAACCGGCACTGCAACCCTCTCCTGTGCATTTTGCAAAGGCTGCTGCGACTGCGATGCCTGGGTTGACACACTGCATACGGTAGGCGTCTCAAAGCGGCGCCCACCTCCTGCAAAAAGTTCATCCAGGCTTTGAGCTCCTGTCTCAAGGGAGAAAAAGCTGCGGAGTAGCGGCGGCGCTCTCAGCTGAACAAAGAGAAGATGATGATGATGATGATGATGATGATGATGATGATGATGATGATGATGATGATGATGATGATGATGATGATGATGATGATGATGATGATGATGCTGGTGGTGGTGGTGGTGGTGGTGGTGGTGGTGGTGGTGATGATCGGTCCTCTACCGGGAATCGCTGGAAGCTGCCATTCCCAGAGGAGTACTCGGAGAATTGCGTCACAATCTGTGAAAGAGCTCGCCACTTTGCAGCGACAGCTTCTGAAGCTTGAAGTTTCGACCCCTTGCCTCACCCACCAACTGGTCATCTTCCGCATGCCAAACCAACCTGGACCGGAAAATAATAGGTGGGTACAACCTCCAGAGTACAGAAAAACAGCTCTTACAGATCCTTCCGGGTCCGTGCACTTCCGAAACAGGCCTCAAAGCTTCCGCATGAGCAAAGAAAGCAGTCATTCTCTGCCCGAATCTGCTAGAAGGCCCTTCCACAAGTCCTTCCACACCTCATGTTTTGTCTTCCGCACGTTTTCCCCTCTTGAAGGCCACAGCTGTGTTTGTCCCCGCTCCCCTGGCAAGGGGCTTAGATCTATCCGTGTGAACCCGCCTTGAAAGAGCAGACACAAAAGTTGCCATCTGCGAGGGCGAAAATTCGGCATACCTACATCCAAAATTTGAGCCACTTCTGAAATGGTTCAACTCGCAACTCGGAGGCTCTCCGCGCCTCTTCTTAGCCTGCTGGCCTAGCAACATGGCATAGTTGTGCGCCTTCTGGTGGCCTTTGACCTGGCACGCAGAAGCCGCAACCGGCGCACGCGCGCCTTCAGACTGCACTCCTCGTCCAGCGCCGCCAAAGCCCACTGCACCCGAGACGCCTTGCGCGCGCTTCGGCACGCTTCGGCTCGTTGTTCGCGCGATCGCCCCACGCCGCCCTGGAGCCGCTCTCCCGCCTCATCTGCGGAGAGCTCAGCTGCGTCCACTTGCAGCAAGCGATCGATGAGAGCGCGCGTCAGGCTACTGCAAGGCCAGAGTCAAAGTTCGCGGAATTCTCAGAATGGTTCAAGCGCTCGTGTCTTGCGGATCTCGCACGGCCTGGAGTCCTGCGCTTGAGAAGTGCTCTTCTCGTGCTGCCTGCAAAGGCCCAGCTGGTACAGGGCAGTGACCACCTGAAAACGACTTGACTGGCAGGCAAGGCGCTGAGGCGCTGAGGCACTGAGGCGCTGAGGCGCTGAGGCGCTGACATGCCTTTTACTGAAATGCTGTCCAAACCTGCGCAGCGCACGTCTGGCATGGATCGGGGTCTGTGTGCGGAGCCTTTCGATGATCTCCTGCATGCCAGATGTGCTGTTGCAGTTGCGGATCAGCTCCTCGATGCTCTGCTCAGACTCGATGACATCTTCCTTGACTGGAGGCCTGACATATCTTGCTCGGCATTCCTCGCCTCTGAACTCTGAGATTGCGTTCATGCCCTCTTGACCTTGAGCTGCTCGGTCCGCGGCGGTCTCGTCATCTGCGCTGGCTGCGCCTCATAGCCATACCTGCACGGCTCTCGGCCTCTGAGTCACTGAGGCATGTCACTGAGGCCGCTGCACGTCATAGCCCCAGCCTCTCCGAAGTTCCGAGCGCGGCGTCCGGCGGCTTGGCTTCCAGCTGAGGCCACAGCCGTAGTCCTGCTGGACTTCCTCATGCTCGATCGAGGTCGACAGGTCGGTGCATGCACGAGGCACCAGCCGCTGGATTCACAGGCATGACGTTCCGCGCCTCCGAAACGCACGACAAAAGAACAAAACTCCGATGACGAGGCTCGGGGCGTCCCTTGCACGCCTGGGGGTGGCCTGACTTGTTGAGCTCCACATCGAAGTACACTTCCATGCCGACCTTGCTCCGCACCCTTCTCACAAGTAGACTCAGTGCTTTGCCAGCAGTGCCGCTGCAATGCAGGAATCAATCGGCTCCGCACCCAAGCTCCTGATTCCTGCAGCTGGTTCTTGTGCACGAAGACATCTCTGCCGAACAAATGCATGGTCTCCTGCACTGAAAACACCACACTATAATTCCAAGAAGGCCAAGCCGGCCGGTTTGGCTCACCACTCAAGCCCGAAGCTAGCCCAACTTCCCAGTTTCTCCGCGCA